ATTTATTGTATGTGCGTTTAGCACACTCATGTCACTTGCATCCAAAAACTACATACCGTAACGACAGCCTTCAGGATGTCTGCCAGCAATTTTGCAAATTCTGTAGCCATATTTGCTCGTGTGTCCACGATGATTCATTAAGTCAGCAATTCCTGGAATATCACCAGTCATTCCGAGCAAGAATACTTTACTTTCGTGGACGATTTCATTGTTTTTTTCAACGACGAATCCTCTTGCACACAGCGAACTGATTTCCTCGATGATTGGCGTTAAAAAACTCATCAAATACTTGGGCTTTTTTGGGCCAGGTAAAATAGCCAGTGGAATCATCATCGACTCCTTTTCTCTAACAACGAAAAGGTAAGTTTGATTAAGACAACATATACAAGTAAATTTAATTTCTAAATCTTTTAGAAGCAGGAATGCTCATCACCATGCAATGGACTAACGTTTGAGAGCTTCCAGGTTTGGATTTGTTGGGAAACTCATCAACGTAAAGAACAAGGCAGATGTCTTTGCGTGTGAGCACATTTTGACGAAGAAATTCTTCGTACACCGAACCGGAAAACATGTCAATGTAGACGCCATCTTCATCATACTCGCTGAATTGGCTTGCGTACTTGAAGTCTTCACGGATTTCCTCGTCGATCAGTAGTTCCGCAAGTGAAGCCCGGACAGAAGACATAGCCATGGTTTGAAAGGCTTTTGGAGGTGAAACGTCGCCAGCACGGATTGATTCCTCAGCTTCATTTTGGTTTTTGTATCGCCCTTCACAACAAGCAGGGTTGATACAATGTGATTGCTGCACGTTATCATCAAAAGGAAAACATCCTTCGCGACACACATCATACATTTTCACAGAATCAATGCTGCCTTTATCAAGTAATCTATGAATAGCCTCTGGAGAAGGAAGTAACCCGCCCAAGTCTAAATTGCAATTAGTATGAAAGGAAGTCTGTGAGTCAATATTTAATTTACCTGAGAAAGCAACAGGATCAATGTGGGAAAGAAGGTTTCCATTGACATGCTTTACGACATCACGCTGGACCTGTCTTGAAACACCGTTATGGTCAAGAAGCTTAATTAAGCCTATGCCAAACTTTTGGATTATGTTCCAGTTGTAATCGTGGTCAAAGTGCTTGTATCTGATCGCATCTTCGAACATGAAAGCATCATCGCGTGCTAGTTATTGTAGCAATACATTGTAAGTTAGAAATTCGTTACTATGATTTTAATTATTATTACCTGCAGCTTCTTCCATTACAGTATCATCGTCCGCATACTGCTGTTAAGACACTGGTAATAGTTCTTAAAGGATAAGGTGGATATAGGTTATTAACACTGAGGTTAATAATAAAGTAGTTATGAAAGTGAGCACCAGACTGGAAGTAGTCAACTTAAGAAATCTTATAATATAAAGTTTTTAGGATAAGAAGATAATCAACGATAATTTTAAGAGGGCGTAAGTAATATAAATATAAACTAATTGCCAAGATTAAAAAGAAAAGTAATTATGTTATTATAAACAATATCTTATGTACGGTTGTAGTAATACAGAGATTCGAGTCGAGTGTGAAAATATGAACTTTGAGTTAATTGTTATATGTAAGTATAAACTTAAGATAAACAAGAAGTATGAAAGTTGAGGGAAACACAAAGGAGTCAATTACAAATTATTAAGAAGCTAGATTTTTAGTTAAGATAAAACTGAGGGAATATTTATTAAGAAATAAAAGGGACGTATTTATAGAAAAGATCCTATCCTGTGTAACACCAAGTCAACTTAGATTGGCTGCAACACTGCTCATCAAGATTTTGGACGGAAGTAAGCTCTTCTTCAGCATCATCTTGTGTATTGGTATTGATATTGTTCATTCCACTTCTTACTGCAAACAAATGGCATTTTACTCTTCGTTGATGCTCGACCATCCGAGCATGGTTTTCAAAAAGACTGTCGCAATAGCTGTGTTGTGTTTTAAGGTAAGGTTTTAAATTATAAAAAGACTATAGAAGTAGTTTGAGACTGTTTATAAGATTGTCCTTTATTAATAAATGAAATGTACGAGTATTTATATAAAAGACTGTCTGCTGTGTTCATATCTCTAGTGCTATCTTGAAGTTATCATTGATTAACCAAAAATGTATATGATTATTACATAGTCACTAATTTAGTCTTGTTCTAATAAATGTTAAGTCTTCTTAACTGTCTTTGCTTTAAACTAAATTTTAAGTATTTCTCAGACGTACTAAATTAGACTTGTGATGTAATATCCTTATAGTTCTTACTATGACATTTCTTGTTAAGCTTATATCACAAATGGTATCGGCATGGATAAACCTTTGTTAGCTCTAATATGGCTATAGCCTTGCTAGGTCACCACAAGCTGCATGTAAAGTTACGTGATGAAATCATGGAATTAAATCGAGGGAAGTGTTAAAGAAAGATGCCGTAATCTAATCCCAACATAAAGTATTTAACGCAGTTGCATTAACCACTAGATCCAATTTTGAATCCCAGACAGCTGTCATTACGTATTGCAACTAGTGCTAATTTTTTTTATATAGTGGCATGGATTATATCATGGATATGATGTAAAAACCATGACGTACAAGAATATGGAGAATATATATATAGCGCGTTTTTTCTGACAAAGCGGTTTTTATCAATCTACATCATAAAATAATTTGAAAATGCCCGCATATAACACAAATGACATGGTTCGTACCATCATCGAACTTCAAAAGCTAGTATTTGATTTGCAAACCGAAATCCAATCCAACCACTCCCAGGTAAACGATCGTCTTGACGCCATGGAAGAACGGTTGATTGGAGGGAGCGTGACTGACATGACACCGAGAAGAGGTAATCATAACATGGCATGGGTATACTTTGACATACAACTAACACGTTTTTATAACAGTCGATCAGATGACCGAGCAATCGGCTGTCAGAAGTATCGCTCGTTTTCCTGGAGGTAAAAAGCCTGACACTGGTATTGTAACCGAAAAGGGTAAACCTAATAGGATTAGTGACAGAGAGGCACTCTGGGAGTTCTTGTTGTGTGTTCGACCTGATTTATGTCATACACCTGAGGAAAGTCAAGAAGAAATTGAAATGAAGAACGTGGAATTGAAATCCTTGTATGGTGTATTGAGAGATTATGCTAAATCATGCATCACACAATTGAAGGCAGAGGTCCAGTCAGACCCAGTTCTTAGCATAAAGACATGGGGTATGCATTCCCGTGAGCTCAAGATGAAGTATATCCTTGCTTTGGAAGCGCTGGCCAGAAGAGGTAAGATAGGTTTGGATCAATGCTTGGATCACTGGGAAGCTGAAAGACTACTGGCTAGTGTTGCTCACAACACATTGGGAGATAAGGTACGTACATTATAAAAAAGGAAGTTCGTTTATTGTTAAGCAACTAATGTAATTTTGGTTTTGCAGAGAGTGTCGAAAAAGAAGTCAAGCTCTTTGTCCGATGATGAAGAGATCATCCCTCCTGGTCTCGGACTAGAGCAACCAGAAAGTTTCTCTATACCCAATGAAGAGCAGTCTGGTAGAGAAAATGATGATGTGTCTTTGGAAAAAGATACTCCATTAGCCAGACGTGGTCGCAAAAGAAGGGTTGTCAATAATTAGAGAATTTTTTAGGCTAATTCGCACTTTTAATAATTCCATATAAATTAAAAAACTTGCGGATGACAATTTTTCTGCCTTTCTTTCCTGTTTGTATTCTTTTTTTTTGTAGCCAAAATTTTTTTATTTTGTAAGTACTGTCCTTCATGTAGTAGTAGACAATACTAAAATATATACCGTAAATAAATGTAGCGTACAAAACACCAATATTTATTATTTCTGTATATTTTAAATTGCCTAAGATTTATGTGTACATATCCGTCATATGCTGAAGGTAATAGTCATCTGAATATCCAATACGTCTTCTCTAATAAATTGTATAATAATAGATTGTATAGATTAGTCTCTGGGCTATAACGGCGGATTGAGGTAGTAAATGTTTTTTTTTGATATAAAATTCTTCTCTTGGGCCGTAAAAAAATTTTTTTAGGCTGTAAAAAAATTTTTTAGGCTGTAAAACTTTGCTTTTAGGCTATAAAATTTTTTTAGGCTGCAATTTTTTTTTCGTTTAGGCTGATAAAACGGTTTATGTCGATATGCTGCTACATCTCTCGAGGGCTCGCGAATGTTATCTGTATACATTGGTGGATGTTTGGTTAGTGTTATATCAACTGGGCCCGTCAATAGTAAGTGCAAAGGATATTATGAATGTAAGTGTGCCCTTTCAAACTGGAGCTGATATGTACATAAATTATTTTTAAAGTAAAATACAAAATAAACATTGAATAAAATAAAAACGTTTTCATTTAAATTCTGTTTCTTTAATATATAATTTATTTTTTGATTGCACAAATGTATAAGGTCCATCAGCATCAACAGTATTGTAATTAAAAGTGATGTACTACGTTTTGACTAAAAGGACGCTATATTGTGGTAAAAAGACGCAACAGGTGGATTTTAGTAACTACTAGAAGTGGTATAATTACGCAACATGCGGAAAAAAACCGCAACATTAAGTGGTATAAACACGCAACATGCGGAAAAAAACCCGCAACATTAGGTGGTAAAAACCCGCAACATTCGGTGGTATAAAATGGACGTTTTTACCACCAAATGTTGCGGGTTTTTACCACATGTTGCGGGTTTTTACCACATAGTCCGCCACTGTGCTAGGTCACCGCAAGATACACGATTTTTAATTGACAATACGCCTATTGTATATCTGACAGGTTTCACTCTAATGCTTGATATTTAGCCAGCCCTGAATATGTATATAAGAAGCCCAATTTACTGTATAATAAAGACTTTATTTTAGTTTTGCAGTTTGATAATTTTACTTCGTCAAATTTCTTATTTTTATTCTTAATTCGTTGTTTTATCTCTCGAATTTCTCAGTGGGTGTTTTGCATGGAGAACAAAATTAAAATAAACTTGCCATCATTACACTGCTGAGACCATAAGATGGTGAAATCTTGCCATGTTTTTTCAGAGACACTTGATTTGCAAGCGAAGGATTATTTCTTCGTAATAACAGATACAACTCCATTTCTTCTTCAGTATGAACTGGAGTAACGGCTATCTTTTTTCCTTGCATATAAGAGAGATACAGATGTTGCAAACCACCAAAAACGGACTTGTCTCTGTTTGTAACTTGTACAGTTGGACTGACACATAGAACTAGCTTGCTTTTGACGGTCATCCTTTCGAATTTCTGATAGCAGTTACCATTCTCATAGTTTGTAGTATTACGTTGCATATGCTATGTGTCAATAAGCTGTTCTGGCATACGACAAATACCGAAAGTTTCTGATGATGCGGCAAGAAAAAGTGTATTTCCACTTGGATCACTATAGGAGGGCAATACATTTTGTTTCATTTCAGCCCTGAGAAAATTAATCGCTTGGTTGATTCAAGGCGAGAAATGGGTCTTGTGAATAACGCCGTATCTGTTTTTTGACCCAACCTAAATTAAAAATTAAGGTGACATTAGATAAAGTACTCATAAGTACTATTAATTATTTTTATAGCAGCTTACTGTTATGTTGTGACGGAGACGGTAATCTGCTAAGACACAGTCAGTAAGAGCGGGACTGGCATTGAAAGACGAGAATTTTCGGATGATATTCTGATGAGGGTGGGGAAAAATGTTGTAAAAAAAAATGTTGTACTTTCGCGGGATTTAGTTTAACCGAAATTTATAGGAAAAACGGTCACTCAGGCATGTACCTCACAGGTGCATGAATTTAATGCAAAGTTAATTTGCCTAAATGTTTATTGATTATAATATATATTTTAAAAGAAAAGAAAGAAAGAAAGAAAGAAAATGTCTATAAGGTTTTTTTTTTGTAGCAGGCATAAACTGTTCCACGGCATCTTTTAATGATTTGCCGGGCTTTGTTCATGTCTGATGTGATTATTTTGATTTCTTTATCAAGATTGTCAATGCGAACGAGAAAATTAATACCATCGATAATTTTGTAACAGACTGTAAAGAAATGCTCTCTTGTTGAAGAGGTAGAGTAAACTCTTCCGTGTAATTGGTATTGAGAGTTTTTGGTTAATGATATATTTTCTGAAAAATATATGTTGGAGTGGTTAATGTTGGCGTTTCGCTGTTGCTTGAAAATGATTCCTGGTGTCTCACAAAATTGGTGGGATCGGTGATGAAAAGAAAAGGAGGTGTGTGAGAGTCAATTATCTTGTTTGTTGCGGTTACCATTCCTTTACAATCAGATTCGTATGTGCAGGGGAATTTCTTCTCCCTGACAACCAAATGATGTAAAAGAACGGAACAAAATTCTTTTTCTTGCTCCTCCTCCGAGCTACACTCTTGCGTCTCTAATAAGAAGTCTCGCATCAAGTCATCAATGTCCAGAAGATCTACAAAACGTGTATCACTCATGTGATTATGTTCGTGATTTTCAGAGCAATGATGAATGCGGCTCACGTTGTCTTTAAACCCTCCGATTCGTGCTTTAAACTCAACAGACATGTTGTTGAAAAATAACATTAACAGCTCTATAGCACAAGCAGGTTCACCGTCTGTGAATTGGGGTGGGCTGTTATCATCATCGATGGAACTGGGTATTCCCCAAACAAACCCCCTGATTATTGCTGATGCTTCCCTGACAACAAGCTTTTTTTGATGCATGGTTTCAACAGTGGAAGTATACTTTATGTACGAATCAATTAAAATTGAATTGTACCTGTTGTATTTCAAACCTTCCAAGGAGACAAAAGGCAGGACAGCATTCCACAACAGCTCGAAAGTCGCATCAATGAAGCAAGAATTTTTTCTATTTGCTGCGATCGCAGACAAAAAACCCTTCTTCACCACCAAAACATCATTGACCTGCTTGGAAGCTAAGTTAAACGATGCTGCGTTCTGTTTGTATTGAGATACAGTTGTGATAATTGAGAAATAAAAAGGGAAAAGTAATTGGGAAAATAAAGCAAGTAAAGAAATGAGACTCTATAATCCTTTATTATAAGTTTGAGAGTTTGTCATGATAAAAATAGAGGTCCTTTTTATATTCAATTATTACTTCAAGATTTTTCCTGCGCAGATCGAATTGACTATTTACCCGCAAACTGGGAAATGGTAGAATTAGATTTAGAAATCAGTTACATATGAAACATAGCTTATTGTTATATACAAGGAGCTAGTTGACCCATATCCGGCACTTCTAGAGCATTATAGTTTATCCATTCAATGACAGGGTTCTTGATTGGATTACTAAAATAAATTTATGAGAAACTAGAAGATTCGGCAGCTACTCGACCAATCCAGGAACGATTATGAAATCTGATCTCAGTTTGACATATGAGGTAGCTGGTACTGTGTCGTACCAATAGGAATGTATTCGCAATATGGTACTTATAATACATAGGTTATATGTATTATAATTGAGTGACAAGATAAGAGTAATTATATTCGTGGAATTAGGCGTCAAATACGACAACAGTGACAGTTTTCTTTGGCATATATAATTTTTCTTTCTGACACAGTAGTCTTTTTTCTTCATCGAATTCACGTAAAATGGCTTCAATATCAAAATCAAAATCGCTTTCTACCTTTGAAGTCATTTGTAGAGCTTTTTTGGTTTCGCCCATATCAAGACTACTGATACCGGTACCGAACATTTCAGTTACAGGATCATCTACAATACCTGGGCAATGAAGTGTTAATAATAGTTTTTGGTTCAATATTTAATATCATATTATTATTTACCTCCCAATGCTTTAAGCATAAGATCATCGTGCTGATCAAAAACTACTAAAGACTCTTCAATATTGAGGTCAATGGACACCTCTGAATCTGATGCTTGATCTATCTGATCAAAATACAAATCGAAATCGTCTTCGGAATCAGTAACTGCATCCTTAGTACTCTTGATAGAATTAACAATCTCATTGCACTGGCTATCTACGTTTGTAATCAACGACTCGAGTTTTCTTTTCTTCTGAGAAGTAAAAATTGCCTTACTACAATCTGGGTCTCTACCATCATTGGCTACGGGCTTGCTGTGATTCTTTCTCTTACTGCCAGTCTTTGTGTAAAAAGGGGCCTGGCCGAACTTGTAGTAATTTTTGATTAAACGCCCATCCCTTCTACATACTTGGAGAATCAATCTTAAGCTAACATTTAATGCCTTTCTTGTAGGTATCAAACGATACAAGGCACTATGGTATGACTCAATCGCATTAGATGTGCGTGAAGGATGCTTGCAAAGAGCATCACTCAAAACAGTCCGACAGTTAAAAAATCATACTGGAAATGGTGGGCTGTAACCACCATTGACGCCAGCGACGTACATTAGGGAACTCCCTGATAATCGACTGCGCAGTCTCAACGAATACTTCTTAAACAGTTGTCTTCAACAATTTGTAAGTAAACGAGACAAACTGATTTGACTTCTCGGCAGGAACAAGTGAGTGGTTGGAGACAACCCGTTGAACAGATTGCTTCCAATGCATATAGCATCCCTTCAACAAGCGTGTAGGCAAAATACCTGAGTCCGGGAAAGAAGAGTTAAAGGCCTGATAGAATCCTTCGCGCTGTACCTGGAAGAAGTCCATAATCATTCCCAAAAAATTATCAGCTTTAATTGCGAACTTCTCAAACAAACCTTTGAAATAAACAGCAAATTGTTGGGCATCAAGCTTCTTGATGATAGCCTGGAAGATGACTACGTGTTTTTTCCTCTCAGGCACAAAGATTACTGTCAAGCAAAGATAGAAACCGTTGGGAACGGCCTTAAAGGTTACGTCCGTAATCATGGGATAATTCTCAAATGGCAATTTAGCCATTGCCATTTCAGGGCAAGAGAAAATGATACAGAACTTGGAGGCTACCAATTCCGCAGAGAGGATGTATCCAGGGTACTCATCTTCAATCTTGGAAAATTCCTCGAACAAATCTGTTCCTTTGACGAGAGCCAAGCCATTTCTAATTTTGGCTGCTCGGAGTTCGTGCTTTGTTCTCTCTCTGTTGAGGAGAACAGGATTGATATCTTCGACATCTTCTAAAATCTCCTCAGATCTCATACTGATTCCAGCAATAACGCCGCCTGGTGTTGCAGCTGGGTTCTTCAAAATGATCTGGTCAACCTTTTTTTGTTGATCGTTGGTCAGATGTTTTTGTGCATAAGAAGAGTGCAGGTGTTCGATCTTCTTAAATGTATTTACTTTATGGCTCATAGTACACTCGGATCGAATAAAACTGAAGTAATACTCCACGGTAACTGCGCATTGAATCCATTTCATTGCATTGTTGCAGTGAATACACTTCTTGATCGCAATCAATTTCTGCTCAACAGGGGGTCTTAATTGCTTTTCGTACAAAGCACAAGCACTATTATTACACATAATAGATCCTTGACATTTCTTGACAACTCGATGGTCGTTAACATAATCGCCATCCTTTAAAGCAACTTTTTTTATTTTTGTTGGGAAAATAAGAGTTGACAGTTTTCATTGCCCACCCAATGTTGAAGTCGACATCGACAAACTTATTTGCATCTTCCGAGAAAAGTGCAGGGGAAGTCTCAACAACGTTGTTGAAAGGGAATTGTGTTTTAAAAAACGTTACTTTTGACATGTTTATTAAAAGGTAAAAAAAGGGGTAATTTTTTTTTTTTTGTAAAATCGGCTAAGTCATTTAGTGGCTTAAGCATATCCGGTTAAACTAAATCCCGCGAAATTACATCATTTTTTTGTACAACATTTTTCCCCACCACCTATTCTGATGGACACCTCCTTCAACAGAATTCGTGCCTCTCACGCATCTGTACACTTGAAGGCCATTCTGATCTTTGTTCATTTGATAGTACCAAGAGACACCAGGAGGATCCGAGACATGCCCAAGTCGAATGGCTTCAAGTACCATGTTTGACACCTTCGAAGTCTTTTTGACAAAAAGCTTGTTTCTAGAGACAGAACAAATGGCATTTACATACACCTCAAAAAGGTTTTTCACGACAGGGTATAGCTCGGATGGATTGGGGACATATCGTCTAACTCTCTTAAGCACCCAGTCGGAATTTTTCACCATCATTTTTTCTAATATTATGTGGACTGTGTTTTTAACTATATTTTAATAATACCAACTGATGAAATGTTAGATAATGTGTGCCAAACCACATAGCTTATACGTAATAAAAGTAGATGTAAGTGACATGAATGGAAATAGTCTGTATCACAGATCTATCGGTAAATAAAGTAACAAGATCCAGTGACATTGAAAGGATCTGAATATATCCATTCCGACATAAGAACACAAACTTGACTTGTGTATTCGACAGTCAAAGAAGAAATTTATTGATGACTAATTACTGTCAAATATGGAATTAGTTTCCAGCTGTCATTTAGTATAAATAGACCCCAAATTATCATCTTAACATCTTGGTCAATAAATTTATAAAGGAATTCTAAACGTACTTATGTACTTTGTTTTATTTTTTATTTTATTTTTTATTTTATTTTTTATTTTATTAAATCACACTACCGATTTATTACATAATGAACTAGCAATGAAGTAAAGATAAGAGAATATCTAATATTTGAACTAACCAAAATGTATGTTGGTAAAATGGTATAAAATAATAACAGCTTCTTGATTTGAGTTAAGTTGAAAAGTAAAATAATAAGAAAAAAGGAGAATAATGATGGGCAAAATAAAAGGGGATAAGTAACAGTTTATATATATTTCTGGCATGACAAGTGGTACAAGAGAGTACATCAGAGAAGACAACAAACAAGACAAAATGCCAAAAAAGAAGTCACAACAAATCACTAAAAATTTGTCTCTAGTTTTCAAGTATTCCGTTACAAGTCTTTCATTTCTCGGGTCATTTACAAACAAGACATCTTTAAGCTTTCTTGAGAATTCTTTGGAAAATCCATGCGTTTTTTGAATCGGAATCATATTCATGAGATGGAAAACATTTTTAAGTACTCTTGAAGGTAAAATGTTTTGAGCATCAGAGTTGTTTAAGCTGGTATCCAAAGTTTCTTCAGGGCGATTTGCATGATTAGTTGTATTTTCAAAACAATCTTCACTAGCAATAAAAAGCTGGTAATGATTTAAATCGATTACAACTTCAATAGGTGTGTCACCAAAATCACTCAGGGATTTTTTGTTAGTGTTTTCGAAAGAGTCAATCATCGTGGTACCAGAAATAGCAATTTTTGTTATCTTGATTACCGCTTTGTTCTTCATACTATGCAATATATCAGTAGGGACCGTAGTGTAACCAAAAGCACAAGCTGGTTTGCTTCCTTTGACGTGAACAGATACAAAGGTGTTTGGATTAAGATTTTTAAAAATTTGAGTACCAATTGGAGTAACATGTTATAAAAAATTGAATATTTCCAATGATACATAGGCATCGCATGCGGCATAGTTGATTTGAAATTCTGACAGACTGGTGGAGCACCAATCACAAAGGTCTTGGTAAATTGCTATCTTTGGGTAATTTCTTTTTAAGAACGGCGGAACCAATAAAATCCGGCCCAACGTTTGCTTTTGCAATTGCACCTTTGTTCTTACAATAAGTCCCCAATTCTAACTTCCCATGACCCTCGCTCAGTTTGAAGTCTCGCTCCAATTTTTTCATAATTCCACCAACTGCCCGGCCAATTTTAATTATTTTATCAGCAACTAAAAAGATCTTCAATACCTTTGGAAAATTGTTTTCGTTAAACTTGTTCAATCTTATAAGCCAGACGTTGCTTTTGTGTGCAATTTGAACCAGAGCCACTTTACCAATTGAAAATGGAGACCGGTTGAAGTACCATTCACAATCAAATCCAACGCATAATGGGCCACGATCTTCAGATATCTTAATCCGTTTATTGAGTACTGAATTGATAGCTGTCAAAATATCTAAAACACAGACTCTGACATCTTAAGGAAGGGTATACATCGGAAGAGCCAGATCAGTTTCATTTAAAATTTCTGCGTTGTCTTGATGCTGTTCATTAGAAGTACTAGCATCAACAATTTCTTTTCCCTTGCCCTTTCGAACAATTTTTTTTTGAATAGTGTGAAACATTTTCGTTTAACGTTGGGTTTACAGACTCGATCTGCAGTGACATTATCAGTGAAGACAAACTTTGGTCGATTGCAACCAAAGATATTGTAGCTTTCAATCAATTTATCGTAGATAGGTTGAAGATGACTATGAGCTTTAGTCGGAACTAAAGCTTGGGCCCGAATTTCTTCATATTCGTTATACACTGTATAGAGAACACCAAAAACAGAAACACCATTGATTTTTCCCATATAATCCAAAATCTTGAAAGAGTGATCGGCTTTAAGAACTTCTCCACCCAATAACAATGTCATTCGGTCCATGAACGGCCGAAGATCATTTAGGATCGAGCAATATACAAAACTAAAATAACTTGCAGAGGGAATTGATCCGGCGTAATGTTCCTTGTAACCAAATGAAGAAAACTCGGTACTCTCTGTGGCTTTTGTATTGTTATGCGAAAAATCGAGCGCATTTCCAATTTTTCTTTCTTTTTAAACACCTACTAAAGTGCAATACACCTTTTCGGGCTTGCACCTGTCAAAACTACTTCTTTTCATCTTTTTCTTATCCTCAGATCTGTGACCTCTTAGTAGGCGCAATTACCTCAATCTCTTCTATAAATTTCCCCAATCTCTTTAATTTCAGTGACTGGATTATACGTCCATCACTATAAATAGGCATCCATAAGACCTCTCCTAAATAAAAATCCTCATCTATTATTTTACTCATATTTCAACACTTTGACTTATTAGTTTTATATATTATTCAGCTCTATTATTATCATTCTCATTGATCCCTTGGTTACATTTTTATCATTGTATCTTTTATTTATAAGCATATGAGCTATACATAAATCTATTTTCTAACAGTTCAGCTTCTGTTTAAACTAGCTGTGATGCTCACTCAACTCGCAATTATAAAGACCTTCTTTACTAAACTCTATTTTATTTAAAGAAACGAGGCTTTTTCAAACCAAACCTCCGTTTCGGTAAAAATTTTGACCTTCGCTGCGCTGCGGTAAATTTTTTGACCTGCACTATGGTTCGGTACGCTGCGCTTTGAAAAAGCCTCGTGCTGCCGCAGGCTTGTTTTTGAAATAAAAAATTTAAAATATATTAATTAACCATGAAACCAACGCACCATTATAGCTTAAGCTACATTGCCTATTATCAGTTTGACACTGGAGAAAAATTTGATGTTTCTCAATACGTGTATAAATATTTGGAAAAAGACGACATCCTTAGACCCAGGCAAGAAAGTTGATCTACACAAAAGTATTAATTGTTTATACATCTGATTAACTATTGTATGCGCAATGTTTATACTTCATAATCCAAAATATTAATTTCAAAGGCGACCCCTTCATGGACCTAAAACAAACAATTTTTCAGTTCTTCTCGAGTAATGACATATTGTTTGTGAAAAAGTGTTCATAGACTTTTCTCTAACCTCGATAATATAATGCTTAATGCTATTGGTTGTTATACTGGGGCGAAGGGGAACATCTACCCCGAAACCTCCATAGTAACAATTTGTTTTTTGCAATGACTTTTTGTAAAAGTCACTTTTTATATTATGAATTTCTCCAAATTAATCAATTTTTATATCAGCTCTTTTTTCAGTTTAATAAAAGTATTATGGGTCCTATTCGGAGGGGTTTTTCCAGCCTCTAACTTTGTATCTCGGCTCAGAAATATTACACCATAAAAAAAATCATGATTTAAAAACACAACGCTGCAAAAAAAAAAATTGGACTATCGTTTTTAAGAAGGTAACAATTTAATGATAAATATTATGGGCCGTATTCTTGGGTGGAGGGGTTCCCCCTCCCCCCAAACCCCCCACCACTCTTGCGGGGAAAACCCCCGCACCCCCGATTTTTTTATTTCTCTTCTATTATATTTACGCTGTAACAAAAAAAAAAAAATTAATTTTTTCTGAAGGTAACATTTTAACGCTTTATGCTATGGGCCGTATACTAACGCTTAATGCTATGAGCCGTATATTAACGCTTAATGCTATGAGCCGTATATTAACGCTTAATGCTATGGGCCGTATATTAACGCTTAATGCTATGGGCCGTATATTAACGCTTAATGCTATGGGCCGTATTCTTGGGGGGAGGGGGAACCCCTCCCCCCAAACCCCCCTAAAAAAATTCCTACACGTAGTGACTGTTTTTTACAATTCCTAATTCCTATTATTTTTATATATTAATATTCTTTATTCCGCCAATACTACTCGCATACTCTTATTTCAGTATTCCATAATCCCATCAACGTGTTGTTTTATGTGTGTTTTAACGAGTCCAGATAACGAAGCTCGATTTCGTCGTGTCTAAGAGTATGGAATTCTCTTAAAAGGCGACTGACCTTGCTTGGACCAAGAGAATTTTGCGCACCAGCCCTCAGCAGCTTACCCAAATCTTTCGATATTCCTGATCTGTGGGTCAAATGAGTAGGGAAATCCAGCTGAAATCTGATAGGCAGCTGCTCAATTATTCGTTTGTCAGATCCAATAAATGTACCATGCTACTTGTTTGGACATTCATAACGATATGTCATCAAGTAAAAATTTCTAAAAAAAAAATAGTTAGATACACCAGATTTAATATAAATATATATACCGGGGAACAAATAACTTACTCATGCACATCCACAATTTTTCGCGCCTGGGGGTCATCCAAAAAACTTTTCCTGTTCAAGGGGTTTGTGCAACCTGGAGTTAAGCACTTCAATTTATCGTCTCTAGTATTTAGCAATGCATGAGGCAGCCAAATAAATACTTAAGGCAAATAAAGGGCTTCCGGGGAGGGCCTTTTTGACAAGGCAAAGTTCGACATCATATGATTGATCCAGTATGTACCGTTCTTGTAAGGATTACGCACATCACATTCTAATTGGATTTTTTGAAGATACTTATCCAATGGACCACCCTTGGTGATTTTGCCTACATCTTCATCAATATTCAAAAACTCTTCTTCAGTTATTTCATACTCCTCTTCCACAATTGCACTGTAAAATGTACAGTTAATCTAAAGTCCCAACTATTTATATAGGCCTAGTCTACAAACTCTTACTCGTCGGTGCTTTCTTCATCCACAAGGTAATGTATTCCTTCGACCTCAGACGTAGCGCTTTGCTATAATTAGAAAATATGTTTTTAGCCTGATTCGACAAAAATAATGTTGGGAGTTTACCTCAACTTGTACACTGTTTGGTATTATGAAATTTCCGGAAGATGTCGATACTTCAGGTTCATCCAACAACCCTTCATGGACAAGAAACTAATCTAGGGTACTTTGATCATCAATTACTTCACATTTTTTTGATAAAAAATTCAGAATTGATGTATTCCTCTTGGGAAGAGTAGACTTTCCAAGACTTTTTTTTGTCGGTTTCATTTAATATGTAATTGAAGAGAACATTTATAGTGTTTGACCCTCGTGGCAATATCCTCTGCGGGTACGAAAGTTACAAAAAATACAGACATTTAACTGTCTCTGAATCTCAACTTACAGAAATTTAAGAGAGAAGATTGGCTTGAGATTGAAATTTACAGAATTTATTAAAATTTGGTTGGGTAAAAAAACTACAGCCATAAGGAGAGAGTCTAAACAACGTGGTGCTCCCTTAAGAACTGAAATATAAATCATTATCTAAAAGCAGTCTCGACACACTAAAATTATAGGTCCTCTCAAGTTGAATTTTTTTAATTTGAAATTAATTTTTTTTATACATAAGGAATGATAATGACCAAATTGATAAAAATAAATAAATTCCCAATTCGTCAAATTTAATACTTTTACAAAAAGAGACAAAAAATAAAAAATGAAATTAGGATCGATTTGATTCTAAATTGAAAAATAGAAGCTCAAAAAGGAAGTGATAAAATGACAAAATGAAATAAAAATCATGCAAAGCGAATTTTTATTTTGAATTTATTTTGTCCTCTTTCATTTTTCTATCTTCTTTGATACAACTTACTTTATAATGAACAATTTATCTACTACTGTTACGGATATAACCAACGAAATGGAAAGCAACATGAATAAAAGCGGTAATAATCAAATTAACAACAACACCACCAGAGATAGTCATACCATCGACGGCAATATTGCTATGAATGAGTCTAGAAGCGTTACCTCCTCTAGAGGTACAGGTGATAGTAGAGGCACTAGAGGTACGAGAGGTACCAGAGCTAGAGGTAACAGAGGTAGAGGAGGAAGATCTAGAGGACCTAGTACAGCCACAGGCGCAAACAACTGGGTCTCTGTCAACTTCGATGGACAAACAGCTTTAGAAAGTCAGGTACCAGCTAACACTAATATCATTGGACAGCGAGCTAGTGATCCCGTTAATCAAGTATCTACAAATTTTACCATTTCCCAGCCACCTGTCGATATGTCAGACAATGCAATTGTCCAAGAACCCAGTGAAGGTGGAACTACAAGTCGCAGTTACTTGGTATGGCCGAAGAAGGCCAAGGATATCTTGCTGGAGATTACCACTGAGACGCACCTTGTTCTAGTTGAAAGAAGTGATACAAACATGAAGAAACTTATTTGGAAGTATTCTACAATTTTGATGAAAAAGAAACTATTGGAGAGTAACCCCATCGATGCCGAAAAACGTTTTGCAGAGAAATTTACATCAGAGCAGATGCAAACACAATGGGCTGGAATGAGAAGAAGATATACCACACGACGTGACCAGACTCGTGTTACTGGAAATGGGGGTGAATCACCTGAAGATGAACAATACTATGCTGCTGTGGGTGCTATTACAAGAGATGATCCCAGTATCAATCCTCAGATTTTGTTCGAAACAGTTAACATGGAGGAGACTGGTATTCACATATATGATATTGATCAAGATGAAGATCTTCAACGAGTAGTAGAATCAAATTAATCTGCAGTTGAAACTGGTCGCCATAATAGAAACAATGGTGTACAAAATCTTCTGGGTTTAGGTAGATTTTTGTATATGGATGACACAGAAGTTAAAAGAGAGGTGATCAACAAAGCCAGACGAGAACGCTACCCAAGCGCATCTCTTAACACTCCTCTTCCCCGGCTAGCAAGAGAAAGGTCTTTCTTCGTCGAAGATACTACCAACGAGCATAGCCATTCATCCGACTCAGATGCAGAGTCAAGCAGCACTCGTCCCCCTTCATCATCTCCAATCACAGCTGATGCTAATATTCGTACTTCCGCCAATTCAAATCCTGTCACGCCAAACTCGTCATTATCTAACCCTTCCACATCTAATCGTTCCTCCCCCCATCGTTCCTCATCCAATCGTCCCTCCTCCAACCGTCCCTCATCCAATCGTTCTAACCCTCGCGCCACTTCCATTCATTCTGACTCAAGCAACAACGTCCCTTCTTTGACCACCAATAATGTTGCCAATAATTCTATCTTGGATTCAATTGAAAGAATTCAACCAATTGCCAGTAATGCTCAGTCTTCCAATCGTGAATTTATGCAAACAATAATGACATTGGGAGCCCAAGAGTGTGAACAAAGACAGATCAATCGTGATGCTTTTTTGACCAGACTGGAAGAGAGTAAAAGAGCTACCATGAATGAAATGACTAAAAGAAGACAAGAATTGATTCGCGAGAGACATGCCTTGTATGAAGAGTCGGCTGAAAAAAGAAGAAAGCATTTGGAAGAAACTTTTGAAAAGTATCACATGTTAACAAATATTTGTCCTAACAACGACAACAATTAGATTTTTTTTTTCTTTTCATAATAAAACCGTTCTCGTAAAATATTTTTCTTGACTGAGCATGTACAGTTAACAAATGTTATCTTGCTTTCTAACTAAAACTTGCCACAAAATAATACGATAAATTGTACGTTTTAATATGATAATAAATAATAAAGAAAAAAAACCGTGCATAAATAAAAAACAACGTGCATAAATAAAACAAATTTATGCATCTTCATCTGAATGTGAAAAATCAGCTTCGTCTTCTTCTTGATCGGACGTCGTCAAAACATTGGCTTGTTCGACTTGCCTTAACGATTCCAAAAGAGTGTTACGGTGAGTTATAGCTAGTCTTTTAAGATCACGTAAAGCAGCAGTGGTCAGCCTCGTAGGTTGTAATGTAGGAGCTGATGGATGAGCGGGTACTACATTATTGGGGAGAGGTGTAGGATTTTGAGGAGATGTTTCAACATCATCTCTTCTATGCATTGTCGTTGCACTGATAAACCCAGCATATTCCAAATTACCAGCTTCAAAAGATTCTTCGATGTCAAACTGGTCAATACGCACATTGTGCAAAACACAGCAAGCCAGAATTGTTTTGCTATTCGCTTCATGTCAAGCATGTAAAGTTGTTTCCACAAAATTTTCCATCTAGATGTCAAGGCCCCAAATGCATGCTCAATTTTAATTCTTGAGCTAGAAAGAACAGCATTAAAATCCTTGTATTCTTGTAAAGAATTGTCGTCAGTTGAAAAGGGTGTGACCAAGTTTGGGAGAAGAGGGTAAGCTGAATCTACAAGGTGGTTTTAAAATTGCGACATTTATCAGTGAAAACGTATTATATATGACTAACGTATACACACCTCCCAAAATGAAAGTATTTTTAGGACACCATCGAGCACCGTCTGTCAGCATTTTATGGTATAGGACACTGCTTGTAAAGACCCTGGCATCATGGTTTCGTCCTTTATATGTATTAGTTAAAGCTGTAGGCAAAAACAAATACACTGAACGTCTATGCAAGACATACACTTACCGGAATGCCCTGTTTTTGCATACATAAATCTGCAGCTTGCATCACACACAGCAGTTAAATTCATCGATGCGTTGTTCTTACGATCCACATGGGCATTTCCATTTACTGATGGCTTCTGGATGGTGACAAGCTTACCGTCAATGCATCCGAGAATTCCTTTTAATCTCATGTTATTGGGTCCACCCAGTTTATAAAACTCTTCAGAATTTTCCAGAGCTCTTGCAGAATTACCAATGGGCCAAGAAATTACTTCGTTGCTCATATCTACCATGGCATTAATAAACGTTTCTGTGAAATTTCTATATGATCCTGCTGAAACACCCAAAGTAACCTCTGCAATGCGGTATCCAAAATGTGTATTCGCAAATCTCCACAAAACAAAAGCAACCTGAATTTCTACGCTATATCCTCCTTATACAATTGATTCGGCATAATGAGAGGAGTTGCTTAAACGAGCGACCAACCATTGAAAAGTTTTTTTGTTGATTCGGTAATGCGCTCTATAACTTTTACGACTTTTAGGATCATCGTTTAAATTGGAATGTTTTACAGTCCAATATTGCTCGTAAGTGTCCATCCAGGCAGATCTTACAACTCGAGGGGACCGTTCCCCGCTCATAAAGATGGGGCTACAGTTGTAAATATAATAAATATGTCGTAGTTGATCAACGTTGACATCATCAAGTTAGATGTTCTTGCCCGAAGACAGCACAAGTCATAGATTAATGGCGCGCCTGTGGTACTATTTTCCTCACAAAATAATATTTCATCGATAGCTTCATTTTCGTGGATGATCATGTCTTCAATGCAGATATCATCTTCCATATCTAAGTCGTCTTCGATTTCGTTCGTTTCCTCATCAATCAAATCCAAATCCAGGTCTTCGTTCACATGTATATCCTGAAATAAAACCATCCAAAGTTGCTCTTGCAAATTATCAAAACTGTTATAGTTGTCGATGTCCATGTTAAAATGATACTTTATTGTAATTGTAAATAAAAGAGAACTTCATGTACATTTATGCACTCTGGGGTCTTTTTAGTTTTTCTTAATTATTAAAAAATGTGACAACTTTTATTTTTAATAAAATTTATAAAAATCCAAATACACTATTTTCATAAATTATTCGCACACTCGAGGAAAAAAATTGCTCACTTTTTTTTTCAATTTCCGCACACTTTTTTATTTATTTTTTTGCCCACTTCACAAATTATTTTTTGCTCACTTTTTTAAAAACAAATTGCTCACTTTCACTAATAAATTTTGCTCATTCTTAGAAATTCATTGAAGTAAGATGGACCTCCAATTTTATCAAGAAGATGGACAGGGTAATATTGTGGATGAGTATGGCAATGAACCCGTTGAAATGGATGTCGATCGCGATGCTTATCCTCTCGCTGACACCGTTGACTTTGATAATTACATGAATTTCAAACCACCTGAAAAGCCAAAGCCAACACCTAAAGCGCCAAAAAACCGTTCTTCGGCTTCAACTGGACCAGCAGCCTATTATAAAAAGCACGCAGACGATGTTAAAGGTCATTTTTTTCACCTCGTTTATGAAGAGGGATTAACTGCAAGAAAAGCAGCAAAGCAACTCGGTGTTGCCCGACGAACTGCTTACGACTGGTTGAAAAAAGATCAGGATCAGATCTATGAAACAGCAAAGCCTTTGGATGAATTAGAACCAGTTAAGCCTGAGAAAAAGGCTGGGTGACCAGCTTTGTTGAATGAAGAGCACAAAAAGCTTTTGGAAGAAACATTTATCGACCACCCTTCGGCAACGTTGGATCAGGCTATGGAAAGTCTTACTAGTCAGTTCAGCGACCTGAAAGTAACAAAAACTACCGTTTATAATTTCATGACAGATAAATGTTCCTTGTCTTTTAAGAAAGCACACTTCCATTCGAAAGAAAGAAACTCGTCTATTAACATTGAAAAGAGGTTTGATTGGGTAACTAGATGGAGCCAAACAGACATGGATTACAGCAGTAATTGCGTTTTCATTGATGAGTCCGCATTCGATATTAATTTGAAAAGAACAATGGCTTGATCAAAAAACGAAGTTCGGGCTGAGGTTATTCAACCACTAACAAGAGCCAAGACAACAACAATTTTGGGTGCTACATCGCCATATGGCGTTGTCAATGTCAAGATAAGAGTGCCATACTCAACAGTTTCAAAGAAAAGAAAAACAGCTGGTGGTAGTAAGATGCAGAAAACCACTGGGACTGCTACCGGACATTATTTTAATTTTATCGCCAGTACAATTGATGTGATGGATCGTCATGAGGAATTCAAAAGACATTATCTTATCATGGATAATGCGCCTATCCATACGTCAGATAATATTAGAAAGTTTATCGAAAGTCGTGGGTATGGCTGTGTTTATCTTCCACATATTCTCCTGAGCTCAACCCTATCGAACAATTTTGGTCCGTTGTTAAGAGTAAATTAAAACGGGAGAAGCTTTTAGAGGCCGAAACACTGAACAATAGAATTGCCGAAGCATGTCAGAATGTTTTATTAAGCGATTTAAAGGGATTCTGCCGTTATTCAGAAACGAAATTCGAAACCTGTTTAAATAAAGACCCCCTCTAAAATATTTCGCACACATTGAGCAAAAAAAAATATCTGAAACTGAGCAAAATATTCCAAGTGAGCAGAAATTAAATTCGAAAGTGAGCAAAAAATAAAAAAAAATGTATGCGGAAATTGAAAAAAAAATGAGCAATTTTTTACTTATACTGTGCGAATAATTTATGAAAATAGTGTTACAATGCGGATTTTCAATATGTAATAATTGACTTCAACACTAAAAACTTTACTCAGACAAATTTATATTTTTCATGCTAACTTTTAGCATTGTACTTCTCTGACTTGAATCTTTACCTTTTTATATTTAAAACCTTTTGACAAATTTATTATTATTATCATTTATCCGAAATCAAGGGTATTGTTACCGATCCTTTGATTTCTCAAAAACTATATAAACCCAAAAACAAAACATATTTCAATAAACATTCAGATTTTACTATATACTTTTATCATAAACTTGCCTATCTAATATTATATTTTCTATATAAAATTGGCCTATTATCTCACTGTCTCCCTAGAAAACCGAAGCCTTAGTCTCTTTTTCTCTGTATCTGTCTATCAAGACCTTTTATTTTATTTTATTTAACTGGATCGTTACCAAATATATTTATATAAAATAACGTGGTGCTCACTTAGAACTGAATAATTAACTACAAACGTGTATTATTCTCCTTCTACCTTACTGTCAAAACTAAATCTAAACCAATCAGTACCACTCACATTGTATCAATAGTGTATATCACAAAAATTGAATTTTGGTTCGCTCCTATATTTGGATAAAAAAAAAAAAAAAAAAAATTCAACTTGAGACGACCTTATATCTGACAAGGGCGCTAAGATAAAAAAATTAATTCCCTGACGGGGAATTGAACCCCGGCCGCGTCGGTGAGAGCGACGAATCCTAGCCACTAGACCATCAAGGAGATATACGTTTTTGTCCAGCCTGTAAATGTCGATGGATCTGATGCCTTTAAGAATCACGTGACTAGCCGGGTTAGTCCGACCCGAAGTCCGGACCTTGACGTAGACATGCCTCTAGAAATTGAGCTTAGGCTCAAGAAGACCAAGAACCAGAAAAGACGATTTGTACCACTCAAGAATAATCATATGAATCGGAAAAGGTCAAAGCTGAATAACACCACTTTATTATATACAACATAACACCACTTCGGGTTCACCTATTTCATATCGATAATCTGTTTATATTATTCATCATCATTATCATTATCATCATCATCATCATATTTATTATATTTATCACATCACCTATATCTTTACATTTAGTATATATATCCCTTAACATTAGAACAATAAACCATTATCTTCTATTTTGAATATTAAATACTTCTTTAACTACTTTCCCATTCTAATTAACCACTGAGAG